TGTATGAAAATAAATTACTTATGTTGGGGCATGGTGACAAGACCCTATAAATAGTCTAACAACTGATATCTAGGAAATGTTACAACCCACTAAAAATCAACAGACTTCAATCTTCCAACCAGTCACTTTCTCCCAACTAGTAGGCCTATGCTTTATAATTTGGTATGCATTTAAAAAGGTGCTTACAACCATAACTAACCTCCAGAAACCATTTCTAAACTGAAATTAAGGATTTGTGAATCTGACAGGGATATCTGACTGTATTACATGGATAATAGAGTAAATCACAATCCCATTAATAACAAAACTGTACATCTTCACTAATCACCCTGTTTTCCACAAACACTTAAAATAGCATATGTGTTTTTCTTTCTCTTTTACTCATCCTCACCTACACTTTGGCTATACAGGAAACAGCTAGTAACTACAGTGAGGGAAAAAAGTATTTGATCCCCTGCTGATTTTGTACGTTTGCCCACTGACAAAGACATGATCAGTCTATAATTTTAATGGTAGGTTTATTTGAACAGTGAGAGAGAATAACAACAACAAAATCCAGAAAAACGCATATCAAAAATGTTATAAATTGATTTGCATTTTAATGAGGGAAATAAGTATTTGACCCCATCTCAATCAGAAAGATTTCTGCCTCCCAGGTGTCTTTTTATACAGGTAACGAGCTGAGATTAGGAGCACACTCTTAAAGGGAGTGCTCCTAATCTCAGCTTGTTACCTGTATAAAATACACCTGTCCACAGAAGCAATCAATCAGATTCCAAACTCTCCACCATGGCCAAGACCAAAGAGCTCTCCAAGGATGTCAGGGACAAGATTGTAGACCTACACAAGGCTGGAATGGGCTACAAGACCATCGCCAAGTAGCTTGGTGAGAAGGTAACAACAGTTGGTGCGATTATTCGCAAATGGAAGAAACACAAAATAACTGTCAATCTCCCTCGGCCTGGGGCTCCATGCAAGATCTCACCTCGTGGAGTTGCAATGATCATGAGAACGGTGAGGAATCAGCCCAGAACTACACAGGAGGATCTTGTCAATGATTCCAAGGCAGCTGGGACCATAGTCACCAAGAAAACAATTGGTAACAGGGGGACCTTGCGGTAGCTGCAGGATTTCAGTCCTTAACGGCGTAGTGTGTTACCAATTGTTTTCTTGGTGACTATGGTCCCAGCTGCCTTGAGATCATTGACAAGATCCTCCCGTGTAGTTCTGGACTGATTCCTCACCGTTCTCATGATCATTGCAACTCCACGAGGTGAGATCTTGCATGGAGCCCCAGGCCGAGGGAGATTGACAGTTATTTTGTGTTTCTTCCATTTGCGAATAATCGCACCAACTGTTGTTACCTTCTCACCAAGCTACTTGGCGATGGTCTTGTAGCCCATTCCAGCCTTGTGTAGGTCTACAATCTTGTCCCTGACATCCTTGGAGAGCTCTTTGGTCTTGGCCAGGGTGGAGAGTTTGGAATCTGATTGATTGCTTCTGTGGACAGGTGTCTTTTATACAGGTAACAAGCTGAGATTAGGAGCACTCCCTTTAAGAGTGTGCTCCTAATCTCAGCTCGTTACCTGTATAAAAAGACACCTGGGAGGCAGAAATCTTTCTGATTGAGATGGGGTCAAATACTTACTTCCCTCATTAAAATGCAAATCAATTTATAACATTTTTGACATGCGTTTTTCTGGATTTTGTTGTTGTTATTCTGTCTCTCACTGTTCAAATAAACCTACCATTAAAATTATAGACTGATCATGTCTTTGTCAGTGGGCAAACGTACAAAATCAGCAGGGGATCAAATACTTTTTTCCCTCACTGTAACTTCACTGGACCAGAAGACATGCCTAGTCTTGCATTAGCTAGTGATGAGCTAATTTGCTGCATTCCAGAACCTGATTTCACCCTTGATGTTCTAGATTAGAATACTCCCAAGGGAATTCCATTCTGGGAAACCTGTCAGGATCGACAACTGAGAATATATCTGAAGTTACCAGTCCATATAGGTGCATCATGAATGAGTACAAGTAGTTTCACATGCCTGATTGCCCTTAGTGTGAAATGTCTGATATTATTTTGAGACCATTTTTGCTACATGGTGTGCTACACTGGATGACCTATCACACTTCCTTCCATCTGTTAAATACACAAAATTGTCCCACCTGCGATTACTCAAAAATACCAACAATCTGTTGCAGAACGTACAGAGTTCCTGTCCAAATCTTAGCCTTGCTTCTTTTAGCTTATTCTGTTGTAATGTCAGGTAGCATACCTCACAACATGCAACTTCTAAATGCAGAAGACACATTTCAGTTGAATGCATTCAGTTGTACAACTGACTAGGTATCTCCCTTTCCCTTCCCTTTTCACCTACCCATCTCCACAAACGGTTAAAAGGGATTGAAAACAGACATCCAAAACATATACACAAATCAGGACAGAATATCATAGCCAGGCTAAAAGGTAATTACTCAATTTACACAGGTTTTAAAACACTGGTTTCCAGTCCTCTCTCCACCTTTTAATGGTCTTTGTATTGATTGTCCAATGGGCGTGTAAGGAGTGTCTGAGCCAGGAGTTGAGGACCAATGAAATCAGATACCCTCCCTCTCACAAAGATTGTGTCATCACACCCTTCATTTGAGGAAGACGACCGCTAAAAAATGTGTGTAATAAAATAGTAATGGTAAAATACCTATCACCTTACACATTTAGTAATGACAGCATTTGCTTTCCAAACTGTATGTTTTTCACGAGATTGTATTTAGAAATTTGTGGAAGGCAAACTGACAGCCGCAACAAACCATAGACATATAATCCATAGATGGCAGTTCCCATTCTAGTCAAGTCTGGAAGCCATTGCTAGTGTACCCATGAGATTAACAGTCAAATTGCCAGGGTTAGAGGTTCCAGAAAGCCCTTCTATGGATTATATGTCTATGGCCACAATGCAACAAGCTGTTCCACAAATAGAAGGAGCGATAGAGGAGTGGGGGGAAAGGTGCTCGTACATTGATAAGCACACCAAAGAAGGAATTAACGATAAATAATAAGATAAAGACAGCACTTCTAAAAGCCAATTTCATACCATAGCCTGCTGAATTTCCCAGATAACTTTTCTTTTCATTTTGTCACAAATGAAAATGTGGCACTGACTCACCCATGGATGGACGTGTCAGCATTGTCTCAATGAAGTTTGACTAACCATGTGTGACATGCAATGGCAGTTACAAGCCTGCTAGAGTTAGCGGCAGGCAGACAAGCAATATCCACCGTCGTAGTATGGATGAAGCCTGACCTGGAATGTGAAGCTAACTGAAGCTAGCTAGCTTTATAAAAGCCTGAGTAGATCTATACTGAACAAAAATATAAAACGCAACATGTAAAGTGTTGGTCTTATGTTTCATGAGCTGAAATAAAAGATCCCAGAAATGTTCCATACGCATAAGCTTATTTCTATCAAATTTTGACAACAAATTTGTTTACATCCCTGTTAGTGAGCATTTCTCCTTTGTCAAGATAATCTATCCACCTGACAGGTGTGGGATAATCAAGAAGCTGATTTTGTCACAACACAGTAGAGTTTGGAAAACTAGACAAAACATTCCATAACAACAACTTTCTTATCCAGAGCGACTTACACATTTCATGGATGTGATCAACAGAAGATAGAAAATCAGTTTTGTCTGAGCTCTAGGGGACAAAACTGCAACACTTTCAAAGACTTTACAGATCATAAGGAAATCAGTCAATTGAAATAAATTCATTAAGCCCTAATCTATGGATTTCACATTAATGGGAATACAGATATGCATCTGTTGGTCACAGGTACGTTAAAAAAAGGTAAGGGCGTGGATCAGAAAACCAGTCAGTATCTGGTTTGACCACCATGTGCATCATGCAGCGCGACATCTCCTTCGCATAGAGTTGATCAGGCAGTTCATTGTGGCCTGGGGAATGTTGTTCCACTCCTCTTCAATGTATGTGTGAAGTTGCTAGATATTGGCAGGAACTGGAACATGTTGTCGTACACATCCAACCAGAGCATTCCATACATGCTCAATGGATGAGTATGCAGGCCATGGAAGAACTGGGACATTTTCAGCTTCCAGGAATTGTGTACAGATCCTTGCGACATGGGGCCGTGCATTATCATGCCTCACGATCTCGTCACGGTATCTGTGCTTAAAAATGTGCATTGATAAAATGCAATTGTGTTCGTTGTCTGTAGCTTATGCCTGCCCATCCCATAACCCTACCATGGGGCACTCTGTTCACAATGTTGACATCAGTAAACCGCCCGCCCACACGACACCATACACTGTCTGCGGTTGTGAGGCCTGTTGGACGTACTGCCAAATTCTCTAAAACCACGTTGGAGGCGGTTTATGGTAGATAAATAAACATTAAATTCTCTGGCAAGAGCTCTGGCGGACATTCCTGCAGTCAGCATGCCAATTGCACGCTTTCTAAAAACTTGACATCTGTGGCATTGTGTTGTGTGACAAGACTGCACATTCTGTCCCCAGCACAAGGTGCACATGTGTAATGATCATGCTGTTTAATCAGCTTCTTGATATGCCACACCTGTCAGGTGGATGGATTATCTTGACAAAGTAGAAATGCTCACTAACAGGGTGCAAAGAAATATGTGCACACAATGAGAGAAATAAGCTTTTTGTGGGTATGGAACATTTCTGGGATCTTTTATTTCAGCTCATGAAACATGGGACCAACATGTTGCGTTTATATTTTTGTTCAGTGTATATGAATGGAGTATACAGTCAGAAAAGTAGGAATTCCCTATGAATCAGGAAAAATCACATCCCTGAAATTCGCATTCTCAGTAGAACACGATTATCTTCGGTTGTTCCTTCGGTGCCAACATGGACTCCACGGATGCTTCGAACAGAGTTTCAAGGTGGGAAAAAAAGAAAAAAGTATATCAAACTCTGTGTACAGTAAATCCACAGCCCCTTTCAACGGCTCTACCAGGTGGGCATCATGTCGGGGAACCAGACACGGCCCAGGTGCTTTGACACCTCCCAGTGGATTTCGTCCAGGTTGTACTTATGGTCGGGAATCAGCACCTCCTCCATGATGGACAACTGGGACAACCTCCGACCGCACATCTTCACGAATTCCACGAACGCACTGCACGACACCTCACACTCCCCAAGGCCAATGGCCGACAGCTGGGTGCAGCGCTTGGCGATGCGGATTAGCTCCTCGTCCAGTGGCCGCAGCCCGTTGGCACACACCACCAACTCCACCAACCGGGGGCAGTGGAGCCCCACGCGGCCCAGCACGTCCTTACTGACCGAGCGACCAAAGTAGAGGTGGGTGATGGGGGCCTCCTCCTTGAAGAAGGGGCCGAACTCGTCCTCGTAGAGGAAGAAGTACATGACCAGGTTGAACTTGGGCGAGTGGCGCACCATAGCGTCCCAACTGGACTTCTTGATGGTGTGGAAGTGCTGCCCGGGGTTCTCACTGACCACGTCAATGCGGAGATGCTCCAGGTGCACGTGTTTCTCCGAGGAGAGGGCTAATAAGAGCTCGTCGCTCAGCAGGTGGTAGTTAAGCGCCAGCTCCCTCAGGCCATGGCACTGGTCCGCCACACACAGGATACCTGCACACACAGCAAAGTTTGGTTTAGAAATATAGTCCTGTTATAACATTATATATCCCTATTCATTCGAATTAATTAGTTTAGTTTTAAATGGTGTAACAGTAGAAGAGCCGAGACAGTCATTTTGACTGCATATTAATGTAAAATTGAAATGGCTCTGCAATTTTTTACATCATGCCCGCCTCAGTCCTTGAATTTTCCTAAATAAGTCTGTTTAACACACTTATATTGTTAGAATTTTGATATCACAAACAGAAAGCGTTATAAGCGGGTTTTAAAAGTAAATGTACTTTTTTCCTAATCCTCCTACAGTCACATACAGGTAAGACGTTTTGAATTCTATATAGTATCAGAAAGAACAGATTGAGGTTTTCAAAACACTAAGCCTACCGTCGCCAAATAACTCCAAATTTAAGAGATGAGCTCTATTTCAAAACATCACTTCATCCAAGACCAAGAATAACCGCTGTTCCTTTGCGCTCCAAAACATGAGCACACAGGAGATCGCCTACAGTAACAAACAAATGAAAATGCTATTGTGTTCATTGAATGAATGATTTTTTTTTATTATATATATATATATATATATATATATATATATATATATATATATATACTGCTCAAAAAATAAAGGGAACACTAAAATAAAACATCCTAGATCTGAATGAATGAAATAATCTTATTAAATACTTTTTTCTTTACATAGTTGAATGTGCTGACAACAAAATCACACAAATTATCAATGGAAATCAAATTTATCAACCCATGGAGGTCTGGATTTGGAGTCACACTCAAAATTAAAGTGGAAAACCACACTACAGGCTGATCCAACTTTGATGTAATGTCCTTAAAACAAGTCAAAATGAGGCTCAGTAGTGTATGTGGCCTCCACGTGCCTGTATGGCCTCCCTACAACGCCTGGGCATGCTCCTGATGAGGATGGCCTCCTGAGGGATCTCCTCCCAGACCTGGACTAAAGCATCCGCCAACTCCTCAACAGTCTGTGGTGCAACGTGGCGTTGGTGGATGGAGCGAGACATGATGTCCCAGATGTGCTCAATTGGATTCAGGTCTGGGGAACGGGCGGGCCAGTCCATAGCATCAATGCCTTCCTCTTGCAGGAACTGCTGACACACTCCAGCCACATGAGGTCTAGCATTGTCTTGCATTAGGAGGAACCCAGGGCCAACCGCACCAGCATATGGTCTCACAAGGGGTCTGAGGATCTCATCTCGGTACCTAATGGCAGTCAGGCTACCTCTGACGAGCACATGGAGGGCTGTGCGGCCCCCCAAAGAAATGCCACCCCACACCATGACTGACCCACCACCAAACCGGTCATGCTGGAGGATTTTGCAGGCAGCAGAACGTTCTGCACGGCGTCTCCAGACTCTGTCACGTCTGTCACATGTGCTCAGTGTGAACCTGCTTTCATCTGTGAAGAGCACAGGGCGCCAGTGGCGAATTTGCCAATCTTGGTGTTCTCTGGCAAATGCCAAACGTCCTGCACGGTGTTGGGCTGTAAGCACAACCCCCACCTGTGGACGTCGGGCCCTCATACCACCCTCATGGAGTCTGTTTCTGACCTTTTGAGCAGACACATGCACATTTGTGGCCTGCTGGAGGTCATTTTGCAGGGCTCTGGCAGTGCTCCTCCTGCTCCTCCTTGCACAAAGGCGGAGGTAGCGGTCCTGCTGCTGGGTTGTTGCCCTCCTACGGCCTCCTCCACATCTCCTGATGTACTGGCCTGTCTCCTGGTAGCGCCTCCATGCTCTGGACACTACGCTGACAGACACAGCAAACCTTCTTGCCACAGCTCGCATTGATGTGCCATCCTGGGTGAGCTGCACTACCTGAGCCACTTTTGTGGGTTGTAGACTCCGTCTCATGCTACCACTAGAGTGAAAGCACCGCCAGCATTCAGAAGTGACCAAAACATCAGCCAGGAAGCATAGGAACTGAGAAGTGGTCTGTGGTCACCACCTGCAGAACCACTCCTTTATTGGGGGTGTCTTGCCTATAATTTCCACCTGTTGTCTATTCCATTTGCACAACAGCATGTGAAATGTATTGTCAATCAGTGTTGCTTCCTAAGTGGACAGTTTGATTTCACAGAAGTGTGATTGACTTGGAGTTACATTGTGTTGTTTAAGTGTTCCCTTTATTTTTTTGAGCAGTGTATATACGTATTCTAATCTTAGCCAAGACCTTAATAAACACAACAAAATTATTATTTTGAAATCAGGGTTGGGCGGTATCCATATTTCCATACTTTCACACCATGCCTGTGTACGGTATTACTGTAGCGCACACAAGGGGTGCTATAAAAAAAATTCAAATGTAAAAAAAGCCACAAAAAAACATCACTTAACAAAATGCTAACAAGTACTAAGGAATTCACATAGCGGATGCTAGGTAAATGCTAACGAGGGCATTACTACTAGGACAGACAACCCAGCTCCTAAAGTTATGCAAGTATCTCAAAAGCAGTTTGCAGCACACACAAAACAAATATTAGGCACCTGGGATCTTAATCTAGGAGGGGTTGTCTTGCTGCTGTTACCATGAAGTTTGATCTTGCAAGCTAATGTTAGCCATTTAGCACATCTTGGATAAGTTTTAAATTGAAGTTTTAGTCATTTAGCAGGCGCTCTTATCCAGAGCGACTTACAGGAGCACTTAGGGTTAAGTGCCTTGCTCAAGGGCAGATATTTTTCACCTAGTCGGTTCGGGTATTCGAACCAGCAACCTTTCGGTTAATGGCTTAACACTTTAAAAAAAGCTTCATAATGAAAAACGATCTAACGTGCGAAATGATGAACGCGATCTGCTTATCTATTACGTAGTGCACAAGTTGACTGCAGGTATTTACTTAAAAGTAAATATTCATAGCCCAAAAAAAGGTCACTTACCATAATGCTAAACAAAATGCTAACAAATAATAAGGAATCCTCATAGACAATGCTAACGAATGCATTGCAAACATTTTGTACAGTTCCTGACCTAAACTATACAAGTAAATCAAAAACGCTACTCACAGTTTGCTGCACACACAAAATGAATATTAGCCAGCAAGGCTCTTGATCCAGGAGGGGATTCTCTGCTGTTAACAAGCGAATGCTTGATTATGGAAGAAGCTAATCACTTAACACTAAATTAGCAAACCAAATGCCCAACTGCTGAGCATTTAGCACATTTTAGACAGTTAACTTAATAGTTATAAGATATCTAGCTGGCAAACATTTAGTTGTGAATTCCATGCTGTAATTAGATCACCTGGCGCGTGCTGCATGACAGTGAGTGACACACAAGGCTCCGGTCTCTTGTCGTTGTGTGCTTGTAAACAAACACCACGTGACTGGGGACTACCGTAAACTACATAATAATGTGACAGATGAAATGTTCTTTATCTCCTAACGTACTGCACAAGTTGACTGCAGGTATTTACTTAAAAAGTAGCTACAAATATTCAAATGTATAAAACTTGAAATAAATAGTTTCAACGGTATTGAAAAACCATCCAGTGGCTTTTTCCCAAATACCCCCGGTATACGTTATACCGCCCAAGCCAAGTTAGAACGTTGCAGTCAAAAGGCTGCTCATTGGTGTAGTGAGGGGGATAGCGACACCCGGCAGTTTAAGTGTTAATGAGGGCTTTCAGTGTTGTGCCCAAGGTTTTCGGTTTGAAACTACAGATATGAAGGTAGCGCACTTAAACTTCAAAACAATCAAAGCTCTTTACAGGCAGATGCATTATAGTATAGGCCAGGGCTCTCCAAATCTGGTCCTGGAAGGCCGAAACACTTCTGGTTTAATTCAGACCTAGGATATCAGGTGAGTGCAATTAAAAGGACAATTCCACCACTTTTCAACCTCATATCTCCAGCACCATACCAGTGTCTACATATGTTAAAACGGCACGTTTCTATGAGCTGTGGTTAAAAAGATAATGTCCTAAAAAATGCTAGGATTAAAAGTAAAATAAAAATAAAATGATTAACAAGACCTGCAACTGGTTTCTAGCCAGGGAGGGTATTTTCTTGCTCCCCACGTCACCACGAATCTCAGTCTTTGAAAATCACTTTTTAAAATGTTTTAACTTTTGATGATGTCTTCGGGTAGAACTTGAGGTTGAAAAGTGGTGGAGTTGCCCTTTAACTACCAGATAGAAACAAAAACCAGAAGTGTTTCGGCCCTCCAGGTCCGGCGTTAAAGAGCCCTGGTATTGGCAAGCTTGAAATGTTATCAGACCCATTTCGACCATTGAGGGGAATTAGAGCTCAGACATAAAAGTTGATTCAGTGGCTAGCTTTGCACTTGGCTAGCTAACAGTAGCTGCTAGGGGTAAGTTATAACCTACATTTGTGTTTTGTTTTTACATACTGGTAACCAGAATCGTTCAAGGGAATTCGGGACATGGGTGACTAGTTAACGTTAGCTTGGCTCTCTGTGTGTTCGTGCTCTGGGAGGAGTTTTTGTTTTTCGTTGGCAGAAAGCAATGGCTAGCTAGTATGCTAACTATTCTAGCTAACTAACTGGCTGAATAAGTTGACAACGGACTCGCTCAAGCTGTCGGGACTAACCCACAACGTTAGACACGGACACAAATGATCTGCTTGGCGTGTTGACACACTGGTGGTTTGTTGTGACCGAGTATTGGTGCTAAACCGTGTTGTTGGAGGCTGGCATGCTAGTTGGCTGTGGCATCATAGGATTCGGTGCCCTGGACAGTTTTCACGGAAGAATACTGTACCAAGTTAGCTAGCTGAATAAACTAAGTTAGTCTATTCCTAGAAAACATTGAACCGCTGTAGTTTACAACAATTATAGTTTCTGAGGTGGAAGTTGGGAGAGTTATATTTGGGTGTTTCAGTGAAACGTAAGTGAGGGAGGCCCCGCTCGCTCGCTTTCCCAGATGTTTAGTTCATTTCATTTCATTCCGATCTCCTTTGCATTATTGTAGCCATTTTCTGTAGCCTGTCAACTATGCATCTGTCTATCCCTGTTCTCTCCTCTCTGCACAGGCTATACAAACGCTTCACACCGTGTGGTTGCTGCCACTCTAACCTGGTGGTCCCTGCGCGCACAACCCACGTGGAGTTCCAGGTCTACGGCAGCCTCTGGAACTGCCGTTCTGCGGCCAACAAGGCAGAGTTCATCTCAGCCTATGCTACCCTCCAGTCCCTCGACTTCTTGGCACTGACGGAAACATGGATTACCACTGAAAACACTGCTACTCCTACTGCTCTCTCCTCGTCTGACCATGTGTTCTCGCATACCCCGAGAGCATCTGGTCAGCAGGGTGGTGGTACAGGAATCCTCATCTCTCCCAAGTGGACATTCTCTCTTTTTCCCCTGACCCATCTGTCTATCTCCTAATTTGAATTCCATGCTGTCACAGTCACTAGCCCATTCAAGCTTAACATCCTTATCATTTATCGCCCTCCAGGTTCCCTTGGAGAGTTCATCAATGAGCTTGACGCCTAGATAAGTTCCTTTCCTGACAGATGGCTCACCCCTCACAGTTCTGGGTGACTTTAACCTCCCTACGTCTACCTTTGACTCATTTCTCTCTGCCTCCTCCTTTCCACTCCTCTCCTCTTTTGACCTCACCCTCTCACCGTCCCCCCCTACTCACAAGGCAGGCAATACGCTTGACCTCATCTTTACTAGATGCTGTTCTTCCACTAATCTCACTGCAACTCCCCTTGTCTCCGACCACTACTTTGTATCCTTTTCTCTCTCGCTCTCCTCCAACACTACTCACTCTGCCCCTACTCAGACGGTAATGCGCCGTCGCAACCGTCACGCTCTCTCTCCAGCTACTCTCTCCTCTTCCATCCTATAATCTCTTCCCTCTGCTCAATCCTTCTCCCTCCAATCTCCTGATTCTGCCTCCTCAACCCTCCTCTCCTCCCTTTCTGCATCCTTTGACTCTCTATGTCCCCTATCCTCACGGCCGGGTTGGTCCTCCCCTCCTGCTCCGTGGCTTAACGACTCATTGCGAGCTCACAGAACAGGGCTCCGGGCAACCGAGCGGAAATGGAGGAAAACTAGACTCCCTGCGGACCTGGCATCTTTTCACTCCCTCCCCTCTACATTTTCTTCCTCTGTTTCTGCTGCTAAAGCCACTTTCTACCACTCTAAATTCCAAGCATCTGCCTCTAACCATAGGAAGCTCTTTGCCACCTTCTCCTCCCTGCTGAATCATTCCCCCCACCATCTCTCTAAGAATGACCTTCTTGATCCAAACCAGTCAGGTTTCAAGACTGGTCATTCAACTGAGACTGCTCTTCTCTGTGTCACGGAGGCTCTCCGCACTGCTAACTGCCATCACGATTGACAACTCCGTTGTGTCCTCCTCCCAGAGTGCAAAAAGCCTTGGCGTGACCCTGGACAACACCCTGTCGTTCTCTGCTAACATCAAGGCAGTGACCCGATCCTGTAGGTTCATGCTCTACAACATTCGGAGAGTACGACCCTGCCTTACACAGGAAGCGGCACAGGTCCTAATCCAGGCACTTGTCATCTCCCGTCTGGATTACTGCAACTCGCTGTTGGCTGGGCTCCCTGCCTGTGCCATTAAACCCCTACAACTCATCCAGAATGCCGCAGCCCGTCTGGTGTTCAACCTTCCCAAGTTCTCTCACGTCACCCCGCTCCTCCGCACACTCCACTGGCTTCTAGTTGAAGCTCGCATCTGCTACAAGACCATGGTGCTTGCCTACGGAGCTATGAGGGGAACGGCACCTCCGTACCTTCAGGCTCTGATCAGTCCCTACACCCAAACGAGGGCATTGCGTTCATCCACCTCTGGCCTGCTGGCCCCCCTACCTCTGCGGAAGCACAGTTCCCGCTCAGCCTAGTCAAAACTGTTCGCTGCTCTGGCACCCCAATGGTGGAACAAGCTCCCTCACTACGCCAGGACGGCAGAGTCACTCACCACCTTCCGGAGACACTTGAAACCCCACCACTTTAAGGAATACTTGGGATAGGATAAAGTAATCCTTCTACCCCCCCAAAAAAAAATCTGGCTATAAGGTGAATGCACCAATTTGTAAGTCGCTCTGGATAAGAGCGTCTGCTAAATGACGTAAATGTAAATAAAAGCTATAAATAGTAGGCTTACCAGAGAAACAGACAGCTGGATTCAACTAAATAAACAGCCCTTATCAGAGCTGGCTATTAAAGTGGGTCCAGGAAAAATCTACGATATGGTTAAGAATAGAGTTCACTCATGCCGCCTACAATGAATTTGGCTTTTGTAGTTTATTGTAGTTTGTAGATTACGATGGGTCTGAAATAACCCATTAAAAGGAGACTTGACAAATGAATTCAGAAGCCTCTCTTTGAAGTCTGATTGAGGACCTTATTACTGATGAACAGGGCCTAAAATTACCATTTCGGTCCACCAGCCACTGTGGCAGGTAGATTTACAAATCTACCAGCCACTCAATATTCTTTTACCAGCCAGAATAAATAAGAAATGCTAAAATTTCAACACAAAAAAATTGATGAGCATGCATTGTAATGTTTCTAAAACAATACATGTATTACTAGTAAAAAGTAATGTGGTATATTGTTTCATAAAATGTTGTTTGACCTGAGTCTTTGAACCAACATATTACAGATGAGACAAATGTTCACCTGCCCCTTTAAGTACGGGAGGTTATCGTGATAACACGACTAATGTTTGTGCCTGAGATTTAGAGTATGACTAGTAGCCACATTGTTCAAATTTCAACTGCTAAGAAAGAAGACATGGAAAAACAACCTAAATCAGCTCTTCACGTGCGCACAGCCCCAGCCAGGCAGTGTTGCAGAGCGAGGTGGGATAGGTTATAGAGCAGTGGTCACCAACCTTTTCTGAGTCAAGATCACTGAGTCAAAATGCAAGCAGAGATCTACAGCTCAGGTTTTTTTTTTTTTTTTTTACACGACTTAAAAAACGTAAACATATGCAACATTAACCTATTAAAAATAGTTCTGTAGCAATGAAGTTTGTAGTAGGCTATATGCCCAATAAATGCATTATCACTATGCTTGAATTGCCTTGCCAATGTTGTTTTTCAGACCATTTTGAAACTATATATTTAAACATTTTAGGTACACTACATTTACATCATTTAGCAGACGCTCTTATCCATGTGGACACCTGCTCGTCGAACATCTCATTCCAAAATCATGGGCATTAATATGGAGTTGGTCCCCCATTTTTTGCTATAAGAGCCTCCACTCTTCTGGGCAGGCTTTCCACTAGATGTTGGAACATTGCTGCGGGGACCTGCTTCCATTCAGCCACAAGAGCAGTAGTGAGGTCGGGCACTGATGTTGGGCGATTAGGCCTGGCTCGCAGTCGGCGTTCCAATTCATCCCAAAGGTGTTTGAATGGGTTGAAGTCAGGACTCTGTGCAGCCAGTCAAGTTCTTCCACACCGATCTCTATAAACCATTTCTGAATGGATCTTACTTTGTGCATGGGGGCATTGTCATGCTGAAACAGGAAAGGGCCTTCCCCAAACTGTTGTCACAAAGTGAGAAGCACAGAATCGTCTAGAACGTCATTGTATGCTGTAGCGTTAAGATTTCCCTTCACCAGAACTAAGGGGCCTAGCCTGAACTATGACAGCCCCAGACCATTATTCCTCCTCCAAACTTTACATTTGTCTCTATGCATTGGGGCAGCCAAACACAGATTCGTACGTTGGACTGCCAGATGGTGAACCGTGATTCATCACTCCAGAGAACACGTTTCCTCTGCCGTCCAATGGCGGCAAGCTTTACGCCACTCCAGCCGACGCTTGGCATTGCGCATGGTGATCTTAGGCTTGTGTGCTACTGCTATGGAAACCCATTTCATGAAGCTCCCGACAAACAGTTATTGTGCTGACGTTACTTCCAGAGGCCGTTTGGAACTTTAAAAGGACAGATGATTTTTACACGCCCCACGATTCAGCACTCTGCGGTCCCGTTCTGTGAGCTTGTGTGGCCTACCACTTCGCGGCTGAGCCGTTGTTGCTCCTAGACGTTTCCACGTCACAATAACAGCACTTACAGTTGACCGGGGCAGCTCTAGCAGGGCAGAAATTTGACTAACTGACTTGTTGGAAAAGTGGCATCCTATGACGCTGCCACGTTGAGTCACTGAGCTCTTCAGTAAGGACATTCTACTGCCAATGTTTGTCTATTGAGATTGCATGGCTGTGTGCTTGATTTTATACACCTGTCAGCAACGGGTGTGGCTGAAATAGCCGAATCCACTAATTTGAAGGGGTGTCCACATACTTTTGTATATATAGTCTATATGATCACACTTGTATTCGATCATTTGTTGTATTACTTTTGAGGCACAGCTGAGTGAGCATAATCACTTGCTTTATTTTTGATTTTACTGGACTGATGATGGCCTGCATATGATGGTCAGTTTGAGGGGAGAGAGTGAGCAGCGGTGAGGCTGCCTCTCTTTGACTCACCGCCCCCTCCGCTCTCCCTCCCGCCACTGACAAAAAGGAGACACAGTCCTCCAGCTGTGCTGTGCGCTCAAGGCTTCTTTTTACAGTCTATGGCTCGAGGAAACTGTGCAGACACGGTGATCTGAGCTATCTTTTTGGCCAGCGGTAGTCCTGTAGGTGCACTTGATTTGCTCTCTGGGCCTGCCGGGTAGGCAGAGTTCTACCTTCAGACACATTAAATGGTTCAAAATGGGAACACTGCCTTCCCGGCACTATGGCTGCTGAATCAAGTGCACCTACCGCCAACAGCACAAAACTAATACAAAAAATAGAAAGCTAAGCTAACATATGGAATTGTTTTAAAATGGTTATACCAAGGATCATTTAGCTATATGATTTTGAATTTTAGGACCCCTTAAGGTATCAAAAGAATATACAAAAAAATTGGTTGATTAAACATTTAATTGATTAGCCCATAGAAACGCATTGAATAGCAGCTTCATACATGGATAAACATAAGCCCAAAACATTTCTAAAGGAAGTTTGTTCTGAAGTGTCTGTCCTATTTCGGACATATAAGAAATTAAAGGGAACACTTAAACAACACAATGTAACTCCAAGTCAATCACACTTCTGTGAAATCAAACTGTCCACTTAGGAAGCAACACTGATTGACAGTAAATTTCACATGCTGTTGTGCAAATGGAATAGACAACAGGTGGAAATTATAGGCAATTAGCAAGACACCCCCAATAAAGGAGTGGTTCTGAACACAGAGACCACTTCTCAATTCCTATGCTTCCTGGCTGATGTTTTGGTCACTTTTGAATGCTGGCGGTGCTTTCACTCTAGTGGTAGCATGAGACGGAGTCTACAACCCACACAAGTGGCTCAGGTAGTGCAGCTCATCCAGGATGGCACATCAATGCGAGCTGTGGCAAGAAGGTTTGCTGTGTCTGTCAGCGTAGTGTCCAGAGCATGGAGGCGCTACCAGGAGACAGGCCAGTACATCAGGAGACGTGGAGGAGGCCGTAGGAGGGCAACAACCCAGCAGCAGGACCGCTACCTCCGCCTTTGTGCAAGGAGAAGCAGGAGGAGCACTGCCAGAGCCCTGCAAAATGACCTCCAGCAGGCCACAAATGTGCATGTGTCTGCTCAAACGGTCAGAAACAGACTCCATGAGGGTGGTATGAGGGCCTGACGTCCACAGGTGGGGGTTGTGCTTACTGCCCAACACCGTGCAGGACGTTTGGCATTTGCCAGAGAACACCAAGATTGGCAAATTTGCCACTGGCGCCCTGTGCTCTTCACAGATGAAAGCAGGTTCATATTGAGCACATGTGACAGAGTCTGGAGACGCCGTGCAGAACGTTCTGCTGCCTGCAACATCCTCCAGCATGACCGGTTTGGCGGTGGGTCAGTCATGGTGTGGGGTGGCATTTCTTTGGGGGGCCGCACAGCCCTCCATGTGCTCGCCAGAGGTAGCCTGACTGCCATTAGGTACCGAGATGAGATCCTCAGACCCCTTGTGAGACCATATGCTGGTGCGGTTGGCCCTGGGTTCCTCCTAATGCAAGACAATGCTAGACCTCATGTGGCTGGAGTGTGTCAGCAGTTCCTGCAAGAGGAAGGCATTGATGCTATGGACTGGCCCGCCCGTTCCCCAGACCTGAATCCAATTGAGCACATCTGGGACATCATGTCTCGCTCCATCCACCAACGCCACGTTGCACCACAGACTGTCCAGGAGTTGGCGAATGCTTTAGTCCAGGTCTGGGAGGAGATCCCTCAGGAGACCATCTGCCACCTCATCAAGAGCATGCCCAGGCGTTGTAGGGAGGTCATACAGGCACGTGGAGGCCACACACACTACTGAGCCTCATTTTGACTTGTTTTAAGGACATTACATCAAAGTTGGATCAGCCTGTAGTGTGGTTTTCCACTTTAATTTTGAGTGTGACTCCAAATCCAGACCTCCATGGGTTGATACATTTGATTTCCATTGATAATTTGTGTGATTTTGTTGTCAGCACATTCAACTATGTAAAGAAAAAAGTATTTAATAAGATTATTTCATTCATTCAGATCTAGGATGTGTTGTTTAAGTGTTCCCTTTATTTTGTTGAGCAGTGTATATATTTTTACATGTATTTACCCCCTTTCTTTTGCCACTAAACTATCTCCATATATACTCCCATTCATTTCTTAAACAGAGTTGGAACTTATTTGATGTCCACTAATCAGGAGTCGACTGTATAGTTGCCCTAGGGACCATTCAATGGAATAATCCATTCTAGGGACCATTCAATGACCATAAACTCAGACAAGCACCCTACCTGCAGGAGAGACATGAGGGCAGCTGCTCATCTTCAACAGCCTCAGAGTGTCGCTGTTGTTGGCCACCAGGACCTTCAGGGACGGGTCGTCCACCGGTGTGTCGTCGATCTTCAGAGATGACAGGGACTTGGAGTTGACAAACACCACCGTCAGGGCCGAGATGAAATGAGACTAAAAAAATTAAGAAAACATTTTGAACCAGTCAGTCAACAGGTAAATAAAATGGATGACTGCAGGTAGTGTATGGACATCTAGCAGGTGTAGAGTACAGGCTATGACAAAGACCCTAAATCGTCAAAACACTGCACTAAATTCCGGAGCATCAACACAGTGGACTGTTTAATGGAATTGCCTTGATAGAATGAATGGAGAACGTGTACAGGTTGAACTGGCTGCACACCACTCCACTGTGTAATTACAGGCTCAGTGTAAACTGTGGAATTTTTGACCAGCCAAAAGCTGACGGACAATCAAACCATAGTTATAGAATTGTATTCACATTCGAGATTACACATTAGAATGCCATTGTCATGGAACATTTGGTACCAACATGGAGGATAGTTTCCTGAACACTGACATTTTGTTACATTACAGCCTTATTCTAAAATTGATTTTTTTTTAATTCCCCCCCTCCATCTACACAGAATATAAAGCAAAAACAGGTTATACCTTTTTTTTAAACGGAAATATGACATTTACACAAGTATTCAGACCCTTTACTCAGTACTTTGTTGAAGCACCTTTGGCAGCATTTACAGCCTTGAGTCTTATTGGGTATGACGCTACAAGCTTGGCACACCTGTATTTGGGGAGTTTCTCCCATTCTTCTCTCAAGCTCTACACAGCTATTTTCAGGTCTCTCCAGAGATTGGGTTCAAATCGGGTTCAAGTCCGGACTCTGGCTGGGCCACTCAAGGACATTCAGAGACTTGTCCCGAAGCCACTCCTGCGTTGTCTTGGCTGTGTGCTTAGGGTCATTGTCCTGTTGGAAGGTGAACCTTCACCCCAGTCTGAGGTCCTGAGTGCTCTGGAGCAGGTTTTCATCAAGGATCTCTCTGTACTTTGCTCTGTTCATCTTTGCCTCGATCCTGACTAGTCTCCCAGTCCCTGCTGCTGAAAAACATCCCCACAGCATGATGCTGCCAACACCATGCTTCTCCGTAGGGATGGTGCCAGTATTCCTCCAGACATGATGCTTCGCATTCAGGCCAAAGAGTTCAATGTTGGTTTCATCAGACCAGAGAATCTTGTTTCTCATGGTCTGAGAGTCCTTTAGGTGCCTTTTGGCAAACTCCAAGCGGGCTGTCATGTGCCTTTTACTGAGTGGCGGCTTCCATCTGGCAGAGAGATGGGAGAACCTTCCAGAAGGACAACCATCTCCACAGAGGAACTCTGGAGCTCTGTCAGAGTGACCATCAGGTTTTTGGTCACCTCCCTGATCAATGCCCTTCTACCCCGATTGCTCAGTTTGGCCGGGCGGCCAGCTCTAGGAATAGTTTTGGTTGTTCCAAACTTCTTTCATTTAAGATTGATGGAGGGCATTGTGTTCTTGGGGACCTTCAATGCTGCATAAATGTTTTAGTATCCTTCCCAAGACCTGTGCCTCGACACAATCCTGTCTCAGATCTCTACAGACAATTCCTTTGACCTCATGGCTTGGTTTTTGCTCTGACATGCACTGTCAACTGAGGGACATTATATAGACAGGTGGGTGCCTTTCCAAATCATGTCCAATCCAATTGAATTTACCACAGGTGGACTCCAACCAAGTTGTAGAAACATCTCAAGGATGATCAATGGAAACAGGATGCACCTGAGCTCAATTTTGAGTCTCATAAAGGGTCTGAATACTTATGTAAATAAGGTATCTGTTTTTTTATTTGTCATTATCGGGTAGTGTGTAGATTAGTGATTATTTTTATTTAGTCAATTTTAGAATAAGGCTGTCACTTAACAAAATGTGGAAAAAGTCATGGGGTCTGAATACTTTCCAAATGCACTGTAAGGCCAATCAATGGCTCTGATTCCAACAGGTTGAGTGTACGCTACCTTGGGCAACTCCATGAAGCTTGGTCTGGCCGTGGAGATGAGCCCTAGAGTCTTTAGTGAACAGTTCACCAGCTGGGAGAGAATGTCACAGGCTGCCTCAGCAGACTCCGTGCTGCTGTCCACCTAGAGATAAAAAAATAAAATGTATACTTAACAAAAATATAAACGCAACATGTAGTGTTGGTCCCATGAGCTAATATAAAAGCGTCTCAAATGTTGTGCACAAATTTGTTTACATCCCTGTTAGTGAGCATTTCTCCTTTGCCAAGATAATCCATCCACCTGACAGGTGTGGCATATCAATAAGCTAATTAAACAGTATGATCATTACACAGGTGCACCTTGTGCTGGGGACAATAAAAGGCCACTCTAAAATGTGCAGTTGTGTCACACAACACAATGCCACAGATGTCTCAAGTTGAGGGAGCATGCAATTGGCATGCTGACTGCAGGAATGTCCACCAGAGCTGTTGCCAGAGAATTTAAATGTTAATTTCTCTTTCATAAGGACTAATTAATTTATTTCAATTGACTGATTTCCTTATATGAACTGTAACTCAGTAAAATCGTTGAAATTGTTGCATGTTGCATTTATATTTTTGTTCACCCAACGCCTGACGCCTATCATAAAATGTAATCTTGATTTCACGTACCATTCTTAATCAAAAACATACATCATTGCAGTTTCCCCTAGGATTTTTCAGCAGCGGTGGCAAAGTTGGCGTAGGTAGTCCGCGTGGACAATGGCGCTGTCTCCAACCAACATTTTAGAGGCCCTCATCTTGGTCGCAGACACATTTTCCTGCTTTTAAACTAATTTCCTGCAATTCAGCAAACCCAAGAGAAAATGTGCAGTTTTAAAGCTAATATCCTACAATTCTACAAAATTTGCCATGGTTTATGCCGTGTTCTTATGCTATCGCAGTGACTCAAAAATAACAAAATGAATGGGGGCCCCATGACATTAATTTTAATTTTAGATTCTCCCTTTTATTTTGGTTATTGTTAGTTCTCAAAAGATGATCTTATTTTAAAATATACTTTCTTGTTTTAGTCATTTAAGTTTACACAGAAAATTGTTTTACCATCCCGAAAATATAAAACTTGGAAGTGGCTGCAACAATTTAGCAGCGGCGGCCCGCCGCTTCTAAATTGATAAAGGGGAAACAGTAAATTGTCTTTCCCACTCACTTTGAAGCTGACATACTGCAGGTGGTTCGAATGCCTCTTGATGATCTGCTTGATTAGGTCTGGGTGTGTCGCCTTCAGGTAAGAACTGGCAGGCTGGTTCAGCTCAAACTCAAAGCACCGCCACAGCTCGGGCATGTGGAAAGCTTGGTTCCAGCCGCGGCACACCTGCGAGGCGTACGCCCGGTCCAGAAGAGGCAGGAATTGGAAGATGTTGAGCAGGATCTCCTGAGGGAGCAGTGCCCAGTCGAAGCCAAACTCGCTGAGATCTACATCCGTCTCTTCCTCCTCCTCCTCCTCCTCCTCCTCCTCCTGTTGGTGCTTCTCTTTGCTTGGCTGTAGCTTCCGCACCTTCTTGCAGGACTCGGTTGGGCCCTCGCTGGAAGAGCTGCAGGCGTCCTCATCTCCTTTCACCCTCTTCATCCTATAGGGGGAGACACACAACCATGTTTGGTGGGAATAATACGTCGCAAATCATGGGCCTGCTGGCAATTATAGTTTATTAAACTCAGGGGATTTCGTACATAAAAAAAATCACAGCATACATGCCATAATTATAGAAGAATAAACAGCCAGGTAACAATATTAAAAAGGTGTCTTATTGTATTGCCTAATTGGAACTAATAACTGAGCATGCATTTCTGGCATACAACATTTTCACCATTAACATTATATTAGTTAGGCATGGGTAGGGACGTCAAAAGTTCCGGTATGGACGCTCTAGTCTAGAGTGCCTGGTTAAATTGTGTTTAGGAACATTTTTTTTTACCTCTAAATGGTTAAACTAGTGAGAAATGTGTGACTATTGAAAAACGTCTGAGTTTGCTTTATTTACCATCATCCTAAATTAAGATATTTCATTATTTTGCCATATCTAATTAATATACTGACCAAAAATATGAAACGCAACATGCAATAATTGCAATGATTTAGTCAATTTAAATAAATTCATTAGGCCCTAATCTATGGATTTCACATGACTGGGCAGGGACGCAGTCATGGGTGGGACTGGGAGGGCATAGGCCCACCCACTTGGGAGCCAGGCCCAGGCAAATCAGGAGAAAAAAAAAATCTCTACAAAAGGGCTTTATTACAGACAGAAATACTCCTCAATTTCATCAGCTGTCCAGGTGGCTGGTCTCAGATGATCCCACAGGTGAAGAAGCCGGATGTGGAGGTCCTGGGCTGGCATGGTTACACAGTCTACGGTTGAGGCCTGTTGGACTTACTGCCAAATTCTCTAAAAAGACGTTGGAGGCAGCTTATGGTAGAGAAATGAACATTGAATTATCTGGCAACAGCTCTGGTGGACATTCCTGCAGTCAGTATGCCAATTGCACGCTCCCTCAAACCTTGAGACATCTGTGGCATTGTGTTGTGTGACAAGACTGCACATTTTAGAGTGGTTTTTTATTGTCCCCAGCACAAGGTGAACCTGTGTAATGATCATGCTGTTTAATCAGCTTCTTGATATGCCACACCTGTCAGGTGGATGGATCATCTTGGCAAAGGAGAAATGCTCAATAAGAGGGATGTAAACAAACTTGTGCACAGAATATTATAATAATAACAATAATAATAATTATAATAATTATAATAATAATAATGCCATTTAGCAGACGCTTTTATCCAAAGCGACTTACATTCATGTGTGCATACATTTTTACGTATGGGTGGTCCCGGGGATCGAACCCACTACAAGCGCCATGCTCTACCAATTGAGCTACAGAGGACCACTTATATATGAGCAAAATAAGCTTCTTGTGCGTATGGAACATTTATGGTATATTTTATTTCAGCTCATGAAACATGGGACCAACACTTCACATATTGCGTTTATATTTTTGTTCAGTGTAGATTTAAGTCTAAACTGTAACTCGTCCACTCAGGAACATTCACTGTCCTCTTGGTAAGCAACTCCAGTGTAGATTTGGCCTAGTGTTTTAGGTAATCAATCAAATTTTATTAGTCACGTGCCGAATACAACAGGTGTAGACCTTACCGTGAAATGCTTACTTACAAGCCCTTAACCAACAGTGCAGTTAAGAAAATATTTACTAAATAAACTAAAAGTAAAAAAATATATATAAATAAATTAAAGTAAGTAACAATAATGAGGCTATATACAGGGGGTACAGGTACCGAGTCAATGTGCGGGTGTACAGGTTAGTTGAGGTAATTTGTACATGTAGGTAGGGGTAAAGTGACTATGCATAGATAAAACAGCGAGTAGCAGCAGTGTAAAAACAAAAGAGGGGGTGTGTCAATGCAAATAGTCCGGGTGGCCATTTGATTAATTGTTCAGCAGTCTTATGGCTTGGGGGTAGAAGCTGTAAAGAAGCCATTTGGACCTAGACTTGGCGCTCCGGTACCGCTTGCCGTGTGGTAGCAGAGAGAACAGTCCATGACTTGGGTAACTAGAGTCTTTGACAATTGTTTGAGCCTTCCTCTTGCACCGCCTATTATATACAGTGGCTTGCGAAAGTATTCACTCCCTTGGCATTTGTCCTGTTTTGTTGCCTTACAACCTAGAATTAAAATTGATTTTTGGGGGGTTTGTATCATTTGATTTAGACAACATGCCTACCACTTTGAAGATGCAAAATATGTTTTATTGTGAACCAAACAAGAAATAAGACAAAAAAACAGAACTTGAGCATGCATAACTATTCACCCCCCCCCAAAGTCAATACTTTGTATTGCCACCTTTTGCAGCAATTACAGCTGCAAGTCTCTTGGGGTATGTCTCTATAAACTTGGCACATCTAGCCACTGGGATTTTTGCCCATTCTTCAAGGCAAAACTGCTCCAGCTCCTTCAAGTTGGCTGGGTTCCACTGGTGTACAGAAATCTAAGTCATACCACGTATTCTCAATTGGATTGAGGTCTGGGCTTTGACTAGGCCATTCCAAAACATTTACAATTGTTTCCCCTTAAACCACTCGAGTGTTGCTTTAGCCGTATGCATAGGGTCATTGTCCTGCTGGAAGGTGAACCTCCGTCCCAGTCTCAAATCTCTGGAAGACCGAAACAGGTTTCCTTCAAGAATTTCCCTGTATTTAGCGCCATCCATCATTCCTTCAATTTTGACCAGTTTCCCAGTCCCTGCAGATGAAAAACATCCCCACAGTATGATGCTGCCACCACCATGCTTCACTGTGGGGATTGTGTTCTCGGCCTGATGAGAGATGTTGGGTTTGCGCCAGACATGGCGTTTTCCTTGATGGCCAAAAAGCTCAATTTTAGTCTCATCTGACCAGAGTACCTTCTTCAATATGTTTGGGGAGTCTCCCAACATGCCTTTTGGCGAACACCAGATGTGTTTCCTTATTTTTTTCTTTAAGCAATGGCTTTTTTCTGGCCACTTCCGTCAAGCCCAGCTCTGTGGAGAGTACGGCTTAAAGTGGTCCTATGGACAGATACTCCAATCTCCGCTGTGGAGCTCCTTCAGGGTTATCTTTGGTCTCTTTGTTGCCTCTGATTAATGCCCTCCTTGCCTGGTCCGTGAGTTTTGGTGGGCAGCCCTCTCTTGGCAGGTTTGTTATGGTGCCATATTCTTTCAATTTTTTTAAATAATGGATTTAATTGTGCTCCGTGGGATGTTCAAAGTTTCTGATCTTTTTTTAGAACCCAAATCTGTACTTCTCCACAACGTTGTCCCAAACCAGTTTGGAGAGCTCCTTGGTCTTCATGGTGCCGCTTGCTTGGTGGTGCCCCTTGCTTAGTGGTGTTGCAGACTCTGGGGCCTTTCAGAACAGGTGTGTATATACAGTGGGGAGAACAAGTATTTGATACACTGCCGATTTTGCAGGTTTTTCTACTTACAAAGCATGTAGAGGTCTGTAATTTTTTATCATAGGTACACTTCAACTGTGAGAGACGGAATTTGCATTTTATTGCATGCCATAAGTATTTGATCACCTACCAACCAGTAAGAATTCCGGCTCTCACAGACCTGTTAGTTTTTCTTTAAGCAGCCCTCCTGTTCTCCACTCATTACCTGTATTAACTGCACCTGTTTGAACTCGTTACCTGTATAAAAGACACATGTCCACATACTCAAACAGACTCCAACCTCTCCACAATGGCCAAGACCAGAGCGCTGTGTAAGGACATCAGGGTTAGAATTGTAGACCTGCACAAGGCTGGGATGGGCTACAGGACAATAGGCAAGCAGCTTGGTGAGAAGGCAACAACATTTACATTTTAGTAATTTAGCAGACGCTCTTATCCAGAGCGACTTACAGTTAGTGAGTGCATACATTATTTTTTGTATTTTTCATACTGGCCCCCCGTGGGAATCAAACCCACAACCCTGGCGTTGCAAACGCCATGCTCTACCAACTGAGCTACATCCCTGCCGGCCATTCCCTCCCCTACCCTGGACGACGCTAGGCCAATTGCGCGCCGCCCCATGGGTCTCCCGGTCGCGGCCGGCTACGACAGAGCCTGGATTCGAACCAGGATCTCTAGTGGCACAGCTAGCACTGCGATGCAGTGCCATAGACCACTGCGCCACTGCAACACAACTGTTGGCGCAATTATTAGAAAATGGAAGAAGTTCAAGATGACGGTCAATCACCCTCGGTCTGGGGCTCCATGCAAGATCTCACCTCGTGGGGCATCAATGATCATGAGGAAGGTGAGGGATCAGCCCAGAACTACACGGCAGGACCTGGTCAATGACCTGAAGAGAGCTGGGACCACAGTCTCAAAGAAAACCATTAGTAACACACTACGCCGTCATGGATTAAAATCCTGCAGCGCACGCAAGGTCCCCCTGCTCAAGCCAGCGCATGTCCAGGCCCGTCTGAAGTTTGCCAATGACCATCTGGATGATCCAGAGGAGGAATCGGAGAAGGTCATGTGGTCTGATGAGACAAAAATATAGCTTTTTGGTCTAAACTCCACTCGCCGTGTTTGGAGGAAGAAGAAGGATGAGTACAACCCCAAGAACACCATCCCAACCGTGAAGCATGGAGGTGGAAAAATAATTCTTTGGGGATGCTTTTCTGCAAAGGGGACAGGACGACTGCACCGTATTGAGGGAAGGATGGAAGGGGCCATGTATCGCGAGATCTTGGCCAACAACCTCCTTCCCTCAGTAAGAGCATTGAAGATGGGTCGTGGCTGGGTCTTCCAGCATGACAACGACCAGAAACACACAGCCAGGGCACCTAAGGAGTGGCTCCGTAAGAAGCATCTCAAGGTCCTGGAGTGGCCTAGCCAGTCTCCAGACCTGAACCCAATAGAAAATCTTTGGAGGGAGCTGAAAGTCCATATTGCCCAGCGACAGCCCCGAAACCTGAAGGATCTGGAGAAGGTCTGTGTGGAGGAGTGGGCCAAAATCCCTGCTGCAGTGTGTGCAAACCTGGTCAAGACCTACAGGAAACGTATGATCTCTGTAATTGCAAACAAAGGTT